ATAAAAAAAAATTTCTGTGTGATTCGATTACGTAACTTATGAATAGTGCATAAATTTAATCAAAATTAAATGTCATTGCATCAAAATGAGTCATTCAAGATAATTCTTAGATTATAAATTACTTATTTAATAATTTTTATTTTATATAACTCAATATATTTCAAAGTACTAAATTACAAAACATTCTCGTGATATTTGAAAACCCGAAATATTCATTTGATTTTCTTGTATAGCTAATATTCGTAGTAAATTATTCAATATAATATTTTTATTTTTCACAAATTTCTCAACTTCAGTTTCGAGTAATTATTGAACGTGCCCTAGAGGCAAAATATTCATTTGTTGATGGCGGCTGATGCACGGCAAAACCATGACACATTGGAATCAATCAAAATGCATATAAGTTCATCTCAACAGCATTCAAATTCATTCTTCCGAGGCACTCTCTATAAATCATTCGTCAAACTGCATACATTATTATGCATCAATGAACTATGGGTCTATGACCCTCCATCTTGTTATTATTATAGTAAAATACAACAATTAAAGATCACTACAAGAAAGGAAACTTTTAATAATGAAAATTTATGATAAACTTTAAAATTGTCACCGTAACTCAACTTATAATAAATTTCAAAAATTAATCGTAAATGCATGTATATTTAATGATGATAAAAAAAATTATCATTGAAAAGAAAATTTATCACTTAAAAATTATCACAAAGAAAAAAATAAATTTATAACGACAAAAAACATCATTACAACTCATCACAATTAAGATAGATTTTAAACATTAATCACATATATTTACACGTTTAATAATGACCAAAAAAATGCATTACTAAAAATATATTTGTCATTAAAAAACTATTTTAAAGAGAATACATGCTTGTAATTATGAAAATCATCATTGTAATTTTAATAAATATCAAATTTTGGTCATAAATACCTATACATTCAATGATGACGAAAAATTTTGTCATTAAATAGATATTCTGCCATTGAAAGATGGTCACAAATAAGATATGAGCTTTTTACAATAAAATTGTTAATGAAACTCATCACAAACTTATAATGTTATCCAAATAAATTCACAAAAAAATAATATAGATGATAAAAATTGAGATTTTTT